GCTCGGGGCCCTCTGCTCTGCTGCCTTTGCCTTAGGAGCCCTGCACCAGTCATGCACCTCCAGCCCACCCTACAGCGTGGGGTCCTTGAGAGAAAGGCAGCAGAGCAGAGTACTCTGAGCAGGGCCAGTGCTAAGAGGGGCTTGGAGGCTTTAACTGCCCTGAAATTTCCTACAGCTCACATCCCCATAACTACCCTCGACACTGCCGCTGCCACCTGCCCCGCACAGGTGAGCCAACCCAGTTCCAAGCCCCTTTATTGGGAAGAAGCTGGCACAGCCCCAAGCCCACAGCAGGCAGCCTGCCTCCATCCTGCACACACATCTGGAGGGACACATGTCCCCCAAGTCCTCCAAGGGTGCATGCAGTGCAGGGAGGTGACCCCTCTCCTCTCCCTCCCACGCCCCCTGGATGAACTACCTGTGGCTCCATTCCACACCTGGCCCTGGGGTCCCATTCACCACCCTGGCTGGGCAGCACCTACTCCTGCCCCTGCCCTACTCCCTGCCTCATCATGGGGGCCTTGATCTGTCCTGCCACGCACCTTCTCTCCCCCATGCCCCTTCCCCTCTACAGACTTACTTGCAGGGCACTGCTCTCTAAGCTACCAGGCTGCATTCCTGGTTGTGTGCATGTTGCGGCTCTGCGCATACACACAGCATTCATCGGTGAGGTTATTGGCTATACCAGCCAAAAAAGCTGATGATGTTAATTTTCCTTTTATCAGTGCCGATCCAATATGTGACCAATACATTGTTGCACCTTTATCTATTTTACATGTTCTTTCCAGTTTTTAAGATAAAATAATTTAAAAAACCCACCTTATTTGTGGCAATAGCACAGAAGATGACTTCTGTAAGCAAGTCCAAAGCACGCAATATACTGTATTTACTTGAATACAAGCCAAGGTTTTCCCTCCAGTTGGCATGGGGGAAAGAGCTTCTTTTCTTATAATCACATATAAGGAAATATCACTAAATACATTGTCTATCATTGAACTGCTGTGAAAATTGGCATGTGCTCAGCAATGGAAACCAACTATGAAGTTGATTAAATGGAGCCAACATTGAACCTGACTATAAAAAACATGGCCTACATTGGGCAAACATACTGATGGGAACCAACCACAAGGATAGATTAGTGGAGCCCATCTGAATAAGACACATGGAAATGCCCATTAAGCATAGTCCCCCCCATGATGGACTATTTCAAGTCATGGTAAGCCACGACATTGCATACATATTGACCTTGTCTTTACTCCCACAGATGAGCTGTGCCTTTCCCACTTCCAATGATTCCTGTTTCTTCACCAGCCTTAAATGCCTGGCAAACATCAGGAAATGGGGCCCCAAACAGTTCACCCAATATCCCTGTCACCCTCTCTCTTACCTTGGCTCATATCATTAGTGTGGCCCCCACCTTCTGTAGGGTGAAGGCAGACCAGGTTGTCCTGTATCTCATCTGTATATATATTTTTGGAGCATCCAAGGACTCATGACAAGCACACCTGGTTCTAGTCACAAGGTGGGGGGGGGGGGCTAATTAGTGCATAGATTCATAGATTTCTATGGTTGGAAGGGACCTATTAGTTCATTGAGTCCGACCCCCTACTTTGGGCAGGAAAGAGCGCGGGGGTCAAATGACCCCCAGCCAGGTGTTTATCTAACCTTTTTGAACATCTCCAAGATAGGGGAAAGCACCACCTCGCATGGATCTTTTGTGGGTGGTATCAGGAATACTTGCATCTACTGAGCAATGCTGAGCTGTGGAGTCACCATGGCTTGAAATGCTGTTGACCTGGGTAGAGCCACCCAACTTTTTTCCCCTAAATCTCCCCATCACCTGCCCCCTACTGCCTGTTTACCCACTGCTTCCTCCACTGTCTGCCCCCTGACTGTTTCCCCCACCCCTAGCCCCCCTACCATTGCTTTCCCCGATGCAGTGATGGGACAAATTTAAGACAATCCTCCAATAATTAGATTCTATATATGGAAAATTATTACAAATCTAATTATTGATGGGTTGCCTTAAGTTCAGGATTGGCTTGTAGTCAGGTAAATACTATATATATGAGAAATGTTAATCAGTTTTTCCTAATCGCAGAATCTTGAACTTCAGGTAATTTTATGGTATCAGTCAGCAACTGTGTTTATATTTCTATAGCAAAAAAAGTGCAGTCTAGCTAACCAGTTAACAAAATAATTGAATTTAATTTGCTAATGCTTTAAAATTTTTTTTTAAAAAAGAAACAAATTTTTGGATGGAGATCAAGCCTGAAAACTTTCAGTCCCTTGTTCTTTTTGAACTGAAGAAAGTAAAATGAAAATAAGAGTTGTGACTCTAGCTGCAGCAATCACTATTACAGATGACAGAACCACATTTACAGACTGTACTGTCTATTATGGGAAGACCTTGGAAAACATTGCAAGTGAACTTAGATTTTGTGATCATCGTGTCATTTTATTATACCTTTGTTAGGTAAAATACTACATTGCATACTTTGTAAAACGCACCTCAGATTTAGTCCACAGAAGTAAACAAGCAACGCACTAAAATTGATCTGCAGAATACATACAATTGTTTTGTTGCTATATGCTAAGAGAAATTATAACCTATTTGTCTGATCAAAAACTGCTTTGGAAAATAGCCACTATGATCAGAGATTTAAAAAAATGGAAATACAGATGGTGTATTGTTGGGCAACAGAATTTTGTATGAGAGAGAATAAGTTTTGAGTGTTCATAGCATGAATTAGACCTCTTTCAAAAGTTCATTTCCTACATTCCAAAGCCACTGAAATGTTTCCTTAAAATACTATAGCAAATGCTGTGGTTTTTAATCCAAATTTGCATCCTGCAAAGCGTTTCCTACTGAAGTTGTAAATCACTCCTAGATGACAAGTATTTACTTAGCCTTAGAAATGAGTTGTATGCAATATCTTTGGAATTCTGACTGTTTTCTCTGGCTGATTTTTATTCTTGTTTATCTTCCCAGTGATTGTTCATGCTTTGCTGGTTTGTAATGCTAGCACTGAGCTCACCTGTTTGAGAAATATGCAGGAATACTTCAATCCAAATAGTTTACCAATACTACAGTGTTTACTAAAAATGTAAGTAATAAGCATTGCTATTTTCATGATGCTACTCATGTACAGATTGAAGTAGGTGTGGAAAGAACAAGCAAGCATTCCTTTGGGATATCTGTATTAAAAGTGGCCAAGAAGAATTTAAAGCAGGATTATATTGTTCCTCAATAAATGAAGTGAGGTTAGTTCGCGTCTAATGAATTGAGGGTGAAAACTAATCCCTTGCTTAAATCTCATTTAAGGATTTGAATAAAGGTTTAGACTTATTTGCATCTCATTCCTTATAATCTGGAGATTATAATATTATGTTTCTTAATGACCACTCATTTAGTAGAACAACTTTGAAAGTTCTGTTAATTTGATTTCATTGATTTAAGTTCCATTTGCCTGGGAGTTGCTGATGCTCCTGTTCAGAATTTAAAAACCAAGACGTTCCTGGGGCTAGATTTGGCCTGGGGAACCATGTCCCAGGTACAGGCTGGGGATTGACTGTCTAAGCAGCAGGTCTGCAAAAAAGGACCTGAGAGTTGCAGTGGACAGTAAGCTGAATATGAGCCAGCAGTGTGCATTGGTAGGAGCATTGTCAGCAGATCAAGGGAGGTGATTTTTCCCTTCTGTTCAGCACTGATGAGGCCACTTCTGGAGTACTGTGTCCAGTTTTGGCCCCCCACTACAGAAAGGATGTAGACAAATTGGAGAGAGTACAGCAGAGGGCAGTGAAAATGGCTAGGAGGCTGGGGCACATGACTTCTGAGGAAAGGCTGAGGGAACTGGGCTTATTTAGTCTGCAGAAGAGAAAACTGAGAGGAGATTTAAATGCAGCCTTCAACTGCCTTGAAGGGTGGTTCCAAAGCAGATGGAACTACACTGTTCTCAGTGGTGGCAGATGACAGAACAAGGAGCAATGGTCTCAAGTAGCAGCAAGGGAAGTTTAGGTTAGATATTAGGAAGAACCTTCTCATGTGGAGGGTAGTATAGCACTGGTACACATTACCTGGGAAGGTTGTAGACTCTCCTTCCTTGGAGGTTTGTAATACCTGGCTAGACAAAGCCTTGGCTGGGATGATATAGTTGGGGGTGGTCCTGTTTTGAGCAGGGGGTTGGACTAGGTGACCTCCTGAGGTCCCTTCCAGTTCTGATTTTCTGTGATTCTTTGTCATCTGGCCTGCAGGGCTCCCCATGGGTCTGGAAATTTGGTAGCAGGGCGTGGTGTCAGTGTTAATTCTTACTCCCTTGCTGCCAAATTTCTGGACTTGTGAGCCAGGTATCATGGCCCTGTGTGCTAGATTATTGGGCACGGATTGGGTTGGTGCATGCAGTTGCTCTGTGGCCAGATCTGGGGCAGGGCTGGTGTGGGATCATGCCCACAGACTGGCCCCATGCCACACATCTAGCCCACAGTGGTGGAAGATTGGGCATCACTAGTTTACTATTTTGAAGGGAGCTTATGTATTTAGAGTACACTTATGACCTCTATGTAATTTTTATAGTTTGAATAGAAAACCTGACTTGTATATCCATAGAGTAATTTGTGGACCACCAGTAATAACTTTGTTAAACCATACATACAGTACAAGTGTACACAAGTTAGCACATCTGTACTACAAATTTCAGATGACCCTCATTCAAATATGCAAAAATCAAACTAACTAACAATATGTTCCTAATATTCTGTAAGGTGGTGTTTACTGATGGTGTTCCTACTCATGTGTTAAAATTAGGCGCTCTTTTGTCTAGCAAACAGAAAATCTATTGAGTCAAAGCAGCAATCATTTTATAGTTTGTTCATTCTATAGTTGTTTTTAGGCCAAATGTTTATTTACATTATTTGTAATACCATTTGAAAATATTTGGCAGCCATATAAAGATTTTATTGACTTCAACATAGAAGAAAGGGTATTCATATTAATGTTAATACAGACCTCGTTAATGAAATAATTTTTCCACCATTTTTATTTTAAAGTATGCTCGAGTTCTAACTTACTGTGATGTTTTTCTCCCTTAGAATGGTACTTTCCCATGCGTGTATATGTGTGTATGTGGGTAAAATTAATATAGTGTAAATTGTGCATTGACTCATTTTGTAGCAATAAGCTTGAAATTACTTTTTCTTTTGGCTGTTGTGATTTTTTTTTTTCTTTTTTTTTTAGGCCATTCAATACCGAACATGCAAATAATAGAGTCAACAAAAGAAAATTTATTCCACCAGCCTTGAATACAAAATGCTCAATGGTTTGGGGGTTACTCAGTCCAGAAGTAACGCTGGCACTGGCTGAAAAGATGATCCAGGAATTCCAGCTCAACATGGATCAAGCTAGAGCACTGATTCAAATAGCTCAGATGATGTCTTCACATGAAAGCAGTGCAGAAAAGGAAGAACAGCAGGTCCACCCCATCACAATCATACATGGTAAATAATGAGGAGTTATACAAATTACAGCTTTTATTTTTTATTATCCCTTTAGCTCCTTTATTGCACACACACATGTCCAAAGTGATGCTTGATTACTTGATCTATGCCAGTGCAAGTAAAACGCTTGGACCCAAACTCTTTCAGTGCTAAGCCAATAGACTGGTGTTTTATTCTGTTTATATGTGTACATGTACCATACAATATAGAAAGAGAGAGCTGTCCTTATGCCCACTGCCCCCATGCATCAAACACCTTTTGTAAAACCAGGCCCTCTCCTTTTCCTAAAAAGCCCTGAAGAGCTGCAGAATCAGGGTTTGTAAATTTTACATACTCCTATCAGTTTTTCTCATTACAAAGTAATGAGCATTTCCTGCATCATACTGTGCACTGGCTTGCTAAATAACCCTGAAACTTTCTTGGTTGTGCCTTTGTCCTCCATCACTTTTGCCTCCTTACTGTCTTTACCTTTCATTGCGTTGTGTCTAAAACAGCTAGGAAAATCTTCAGTTCAGAGAGATGTCTTTTCCCACACTTAACAGGACCCATTAGTTATTTGGATAATAAAAAAAAGGCATTAAAAATAATGTTACATCAGTACACTTGAGTCAAGGTACCTATATTTAAGAATAAATTATTATGCTTTGAACATTTACAGCCATCTATGCTGCTTGTATTCACTTATAATGAGTATTTATAAAGAGTATTATCCATGAGTATAATGGATAGGCATCTGGCTGGAGTCATCTGACCCCAGCCCTCTTTCCTGCCTAGGCAGGGGGTCGGTTTCGATGATTTGTTGAGGTCCCTTCTGACCCTAGCATCTATGAATCTGAGTAATATTAGTCATCTCTTTGCTTCCATAATTCCCTTTCTGTACTTCAAGACATTAATACAAAGCCATGCTTTGCAAACAATCCTGTTGCATTCATTTCTTGAAATAATTTGTACCCACCAAGGGATTTTATCTGGCTTATGGTGGGTTCCTTGGCCCTGCCAGGCACTGGTGTCGGGGCATCCCAAGCCATGGCATACCTGGCCAATCCTGCTACCCCTTGGTGCACAGTGGGGTTGTGGTGGCATGGCAGCTGGACTCTGCCCAGCTGCTGCTGCCAATCCACCCCAAACCCACCATTGGGGATGCTGGATGGAGATAGCAGGCAGGCGGACAGAGTCTCCATAGAAACCAGCCCAGGATCTCAGTTGGCAGGGTATGTTTGGCTGAGCAGATGGGATGGGGCCACAGGTGCGTGGGGGCCAGTGCTGAGACTGGCACCGAGACTGAGATCGTAGGGTGGTGACAGCGCAGGGCTGGGGCCTGGAAACAGCTATGATCCATTCCCCACACTTTTCTGCGGGCGCCAGTTCCACAGGCAGGGGCTGGCTACTGTCCTGCAGGGATTTGCAGGGAGCGGATCTTGGCTCTGTCCCAGACCCTGGCCTTGCGCTGTCAGCGCCCTGCGATCCCAGACCCAACTGCTCTCCTCCTGAACATTGGCCACATCCCATCTTACTTGCCAAGTGTGCCCTGCCTGTGGGGGCCCCAGGCTGGTCTCTATGGAGACCCTGCCCATCCAGTATGTCCAGTGCCCCCAGCAGTGGATGTAGGGTACCAATTGCTTCAGCCCCCCATCACACTGGGCTGGGTCAACACCACCCTCGTCGCCCACAACAGCTCACCAAAACACCTTAAGTGTCCTTCCAGCCCAGATAATTATATATCCTTGCTCTGTTCCATATCATTTCAAATGATAAACTCAAAGCTCAGGTCAGCAGGTTCCCTAGCACTGTGTTTGGTTCATGAAGTGATATGCTACTGAAGGAAGCCCTGATATAGAAATCTCACCTGAATACTTCAAAAAACCACTTCATTACATTGCTGTTAAATGAAGTGTCCTCTGAAGTTCTTCATTTGTAACCTTGTATTTTTCTTCTAAAACAATAGGTGTTTTTGGAGCTGGAAAGAGCTATTTGTTGTCAGTTGTGGTCTTGTTCCTGGTACAACTCTTTGAAAGCAGTGAAGTGATTAAGGGCCCAAGGCCAACTCCATGGAAGCTTTTGATTGCTGCTTCCACTAATGTTGCTGTTGACAGGGTACTTCTTGGGTAGGTAATATTGAATTAAGATGCTTTGGGTGTGTGTGTTCCATAGGTAGCAAATATGTCACATCTCCATGTAAAGGTTCATCTGGGTCCCAGCTCTGCCTCCCCTACCCCCACCCCCAACTAACACAGCTGGTTAGCAATGGAAAAGATGCATGCTGCATCCTTCTCAGGAGTGGCACAGCAGCAGTGGAGAGAGGTGAAGCCTGGAGAGCTCAACCACTGCAGCCGCAAAAGCAATGGTGGCTGCTGGCTGAAAGCCTGTGGGTTACATGTTAACCCCTTGTGGGTCATGTGTGACCTGCGGGCTGCTAGTTGGATGAACCTGTTCTAGAGAGAGAACAAGAGAAGAACCTTATGTGGAACTGGGGCATCAAGTATGGTAGAAGGTAGGGTAAGGGGGTAGGGTAGGGATTACATGACCTCCTGAGGTCTCTTCCAGCCCTACTTTTCTGTGATTCTATGAAATTAATAGCAAACTACACCACAAAGTAAGATGGGCAGATCACACAACACACTTCAAATGGGTGACAGTGTAGCTAGCAAGAGGGTAGGAATGGTAGGGTAAGACTGTCATGGTGACAGTCAATTGTGTATTCTGATATACACGATGAACAGAATATTAAGTGGATTTGAGCTGTGTTAATTTTGGGTTGAGTAGAACTATTGAAGGAAAACTAGAAGCATTGGGAAGAAGATGGAAGAGGTTAAGGTGTGATAAAGTTCGTAGGACTAGAAGATAAGCATGAATGGAGGGGCAGGGATAAGGTAATAGGAGATTAATAGAATTCTTCTAAGAGGACTCCTATGTGATGCATAACAAGTAAAACTCATCTACAGCTGTCGAAATAAAATAACTGTGCATTTTGTACTATACAAAATGCTTGCATTACTTCATGTGATAAATCGACTGCAAAAAGTTTGTGTTAACAAGTGTTTGGATGTAAACCTCTCAACGGTATTTTGAATGCAAGTTTCTCATTATATTCCACTAAAACATTACATTTTGTCTCTTGTGTTCTTCTTCTTTCCCCAAAGACTACTCAATCTTGGGTTTGAGGACTTTATCCGAGTGGGAAGTATTAGAAGAATTGCCAGGCCAATTCTTCCACACAGGTAAGCGTGTTAAATTCTTTAGGGCATTGGATAGGTGATAGGATTGGTAATAGTGTATAATATTGTAAAAAATATATTGTGAAAGCAATGGAAACATGATTGTAATGTGTTTCTTTCAGCAACTGCTGATTATAGTGGGGCAGTGTTGATCTGTTGCTGAATAGAGATAGAACTTTTGAGTGAAAAAAGGGAGAGCAAAATTAATGATGTTAAATGACTGAGATTCGGGGGATAGGAAAATACAAAATGAAGAAGAGGCAGGGCTGAAAAGATTTTACTGACAGTGATAAGCAGTCGAGGGAGGTGAGCATGAGTGTAGAGCTGAGAAAGTGGAGAGAATTGGGATTATGGGTTTTACATCTATAACAATCTTCTAGAGTTATATTAGTATAAAATTGGCTTTGTCCACTTATCACTTAGGGTTAAGCTAACTTTTAAATGGATATAAACAGCATATAAAAGATTGAACTGCAGCACAGTTTGAAAATATTTATTGAAAAAAATCGTTAGCTACTCAGAATCACCAGCTGCGTATTGCTTAATTTGCACAGAGAGGGTATACATTTGCTATTCGCAGCCAACCAACGCTCCATGGCACTGTTGTATAATTATGTTCAGAGGAGATTCTGACTTAGAGGTGTTCAGTCATAGTTTACAGATTCTTCTCAGCTCACAGGACAGTTCACTCATCAAGACAGTCATTGGACAGTTCACTCATTATATATCTTTTTTTGCAGTTTAAAATGGGGATAATACTTACCTATCTCACTTTGGTATTGGGTAAACTAGTTAAAGTTTATAAAGCACTACTGAAGTACTAAACTTGATTATTTCACTCTTGCATGTTCGTTGAGTTCAAAATCAGTTATAATTATTTTGCAATATGAGTTACGAATACTGTCTTTTAAAGCTTACATGCTGGCTCAGGAAGTGAAAATGAACAATTAAAGGAACTGCTTGCCTTGATGAAAGAAGATTTAACACCAATAGAAAAGATATATGTGAGGAAGAGTATTGAGCAGCACAAGCTGGGAACAAATAAAGCTATACTGCAACAGGTACTAACAGAATGTTTTAAGAAAGAGTGAATATTTGAACCACTGATAGGGACACTTGTGAACTGTGACTAAATCTAGAAAATGTTATCCCTAAGGAAATTCATTCCAGCAAGTTGAAAGCACCTGAGAAAGTGAGAGTATAGGGGGTGTTTTTAGTTGAAGCTGGAATTCAGTGTCGCTATCTAGATAATGCAGTACTATCTGTACTACAAGTGCCTATATTTATAGATTTCATAGACATTAGGGCTGGAAGGGACCTCGGAAGATCATCGAGTCCAGCCCCCTGCCCAAAGGGCAGGAAAGCAGCTGGGTTCATAGGATCCCAGCAAGATAAGCATCCAGTTTGCTCTTGAAGGTGTTCAATGTAGGCGCTTGAACCACCTCCGGTGGCAGGCTGTTCCAGACCTTGGGGGCTCGGACAGTAAAGAAATTCTTCCTTATGTCCAGCCTGAAACGGTCTTGTAGTAGTTTATGACCATTCGACCTCGTCATCCCTTGGGGCGCTCTGGTGAACAAACGTTCCCCCAGATGCTGATGGTCATCCCTGATAAACTTGTAGGTGGCCATCAGATCACCCCTGAGCCTGCACTTTTCCAGGCTAAAGAGCCCCAGGGCGCTCAGCCTGTCATCGTAGGGTCTGCTTCCCTGACCTCTGATCATGCGCGTGGCTCTTCTCTGGACTCTCTCAAGCTTCTCCACATCCTTTTTGAATTGTGGAGCCCAAAACTGGACGCAGTACTCCAGCTGCGGCCTCACTAAGGCCGAGTACAAGGGGAGAATGACATCCCAGGATTTGCTTGAGAAGCATCTATGGATGCAAGCCAGCATTTTGGTCACTTAACTAGCCGATGCTGCGGGTTTTTTTCCCCCAAGGTGGAGAACCTTGCATTTATCGGCGTTGAACACCATCAGATTCTTGTCCGCCCACTTGCTGAGCCTGTCCAGGTCAGCCTGGATAACCTGCCTGTCTTCTGGTGTGGATGCTTTTCCCCAAAGTTTGGTGTCATCGGCGAACTTGGCCAGTCCGCTTCTGACTCCAGTGTCCACATCATTAATGAAGATGTTGAACAGTATGGGTCCAAGGACAGAGCCTTGGGGGACCCCACTGGTCACAGGACACCACGATAAGTGACTTCCATCAATTACTATCCTCTGGGTCCGACCCCGGAGCCAGTTTTCCAGCCAGTGGATCGTGGAGGACCCAAGGCGACAATTGGCCAGTTTCTCCAAAGGTGATCATGGGAAACCAGATCAAAGGCTTTTTTGAAGTCAAGATATATGACATCAATCTCTTCTCCCTTGTCCAGGTGATAGGTCACCTGGTCGTAGAAGGAAATGAGATTGGTCAAGCAAGACCTACCCGCAACAAACCCGTGCTGGCTGTCCCTTAAGATGTTGGTGTCCGCCAGTCCATTAAGGATGGCCTCTTTGATAAACTTTTCTAAGATCTTCCCCGGGATAGAAGTCAGGCTAATGGGCTTATAGTTAGCCGGATCCACTTTCCTCCCTTTCTTGAAGACTTTCCTCCCTTTCTTGAAGATAATCTTATAATGCTCTATTGTCAATTATCTATTTTGTAAAGATTGTATTGAATAATCTGTCTTCTCTCTTCCTTTCTGCTCTTGACAAAGGTAAGAGTGGTTGGAGCAACCTGTGCTGCCTGCCCATTCCCTTGTATGAATAACCTTAAGTTTCCACTGGTGGTGTTGGATGAATGCAGTCAGATGACAGAACCTACCTCTCTGCTCCCCATTGCCAGGTACAGTCAGTCTTCTATGTTTTTGTTCAGAGATGTTTTTTAGGTGATGGCAATGCAACTCTATAATGACTAGATTTTTTTTTAAGAATGTGATTAACTCAGACTCTCAGACTGTTAGAAAGCAAGACTAATTAAGGGTTAAATTCTCCTCTTGAATGGATGCACTTGCTGTCCATTTAATTCTGTAAAGAGGGAACCCAGCACAAAACAAACTACTAAGTATATAAAGAACCATATTTTTATAAATATAGAAGTAGCTCAAATTGCATATAGAGCAGTGGGTTCTCAACCAGGGTGCCATGAGACTTTTTCAGGGGAGCCATACAGCTGACAGCTCCAGTGCATCCAAGTGGAACTGTCTGACATACCTTGGTTTCCAAGACGGACATGTAGGGTGGATTGGGAAGGCGCTGCAGCAGGAGACCTCTGCTGCAGCTCCTGGTCTGTCTATCATGTCCCTTCCTGGAAACAAAGGTGCAGGGGGCAGTTCTGCCTGACCAACCAGGACATGAGCCTGGGCACTAACCATGGGGAGAGCACTGGATTGCAGACAGGAGGCAGTGGTATAACAGGGCTGGGGAAGGGGGAACAAATGGGGCACTAGTCCTGGTGCCCACTTAGAGGGCCCTCTCCCCACCAGGAGTCTTTGCTGCAACGGGGGCAGCTCTGCATTGTCTGGCTGTAGAAGCTGGTCAGGTGCAGTCCAGTGCTTAGCAGTGTTTCTGGGGAGGGCAAGAGGATGGAAAAACAACCTCCACCCCCAGGCTCTGCCATGGGAGGTGTAGCCCTGCCTCAGGAGTGGAGAGCTGAATGTGGCACCGGAAGTAGCTCCAGGGAACCCATCCTACTGCCTGCTTCTCAGCAGCCCATGCCCATGCCCAAGCTGTTGCTGTTCAAGTGAGAAGAGCCCTGATAGATAAAACTCTTCCTCTCCACTCCCTTACAGTGGTCAGCACACTTCCTGCCTCCCCTTGCTGAAAGAGCTTCAATGTTCCCTGTGGAGGTGCTGGAGTGACAGCAGGGGATCTGTGTTTAGCGCAGGCTCACCCAGAGGCTGTTTGCTCTGGCTGTTCAGAGGGGCTGAGCCTACCCAGAGTCAGAATTCCCCATTGAAGCCTGAGAACCACTGATCTAGAGTCACTGTTTTGGATTTTGTCTGAAATACCCAATGTAGGTTTCAGTGTGAAAAGTTGATCCTAGTTGGAGACCCGAAGCAGCTACCACCAACTATTCAAGGGTCTGAAAGTGCTCATGAAAATGGATTGGAACAGACTCTTTTTGACCGGCTTTGCTTGATGGTATGTTCTGCTAAGCTGTCTTTTAAAAGATGTGGGATAGAATCCTGGGTTCATTGAAGTCAATAGGAGTTTTATCTTTGACGTCATAGGAGCCAGGATTTCTTTTGGATTTTGTCTATAGCAGAGTTCATATGATTGCATTTTGCTTTAAATGTTATTTTGAGAGAGTAACTTTAAAAAAAAATGGCTTGATTTGGGATTTTTGATACAGATATTATGGATAAGTACAGCTGTTACGCTTATCACATGATAAGCGCACAGGAAGTGCTCTATACCCATAACTGAACAGACATTCACAGCACATAGAGCATTTTAAAAATGGCGGATCTTGCTCTGGGTGGATCTGGGATCAGACCCCCCCCAGCTTGCTCAGGTCTTATGGGGGGGGGGCTGGGTCCATGTGCCAGGGGAGCTCTGTTACCCCACCCCCAGTTCCTAGCATGGCAAAAAGCTGTGCATGGGTCCGAGCTTGGCCCCCCCCTGCCATGTGGACTGGACCTGAGCTAGCAAGCTGGAGGTGGCCTGTATGGCAGCGGGGCTCCATTCCCCTTTCTTCCCCTCCCCCCCACCCAGCTGCTGCTGACAGCCACCAGCTGGCAGGTGGGGCAGGGGAGAGGGACTACTCCAGCAGCCTCCGGGGAGGCATGCAGGAGTGCCCCCAGTTTGCTGGCCTCAGCCAGTGCAGGTCACTTCTGTGCCCCAACTTCCTTAATGGTGAACATCATTTCTTTTTGCTCCTGTACTAATATAGGGTGCTTTGAGTAAAGCACGATACTTGGAGCACTTCTGCCTCAGGCTTTTTGAACATTTTCACTTAGCCTCTTTGTCAATGATGTAACAGTACATAAAAACTTGACATTGTATCCGAGTGTAACAGCACTTTCGTACTGGCACTCCCAGTTTCTCTCCTCCAGTGTGTGCATGCAGTTTCCACAAATCTGCAGGAATGTAACCTATGAATCCTAATAGTTTAGTGCCATTACTTTTAACCATAGTCTAAGTAAGAATTAACCTATTACAGAAATCATTGCTGTCTGTGTGTATTTGATGTAATTTTACCCCAGTTTGACTATGAATTAATTATTTTAATGTGTTTCATTTTTTTTTCTGTGTTGTTATTCCCTAGGGTCATGATGCTGTAGTTCTTAGGACACAGTATCGCTGTCACCCCGCTATTAGTGCTGTAGCCAGTGACCTGTTCTACAAAGGAAATCTGTTGGATGGCATTTCAGAGATGGACAGAAGTCCTCTATTGGATTGGCTTCCAACACTATGTTTCTATAACGTTAATGGAGCAGAGCAGGTAAGACCTATTTAAATAACCTTTACACTAGTTGGTAGATACCTTGACTTGTGATTTTTCCATCTTGCGTTTTAAAGTTTTTGCATTATCCTTGGACAGCCAAATGGTCTTCACACACTATTCATTGCAGCAAAATTAGAAGTCTTTTTTTTTTCCATCCTCAGATTGAAAGAGATAACAGCTTTTATAACATGGCAGAAGCTTATTTTTCAGCCAAGCTTATCCAGTCTCTGATTGCAAGTGGAATAGAAGGGTCCATGATTGGTGTGATTACACTATATAAATCACAGATGAATAAGGTATGGGCTACACACCTCAAAAAAAGTTTCAATAAGCTATTTCTTTCTTTCTTAAAATTAGGTTTTTAGATTAGGAGTAAAGATTTTTATAGTTTCACTCGTTTGGAAGAAGCCAGTCTTGTTATAAATAGTCAGTCTCTGAAATGAGCAATCTAGTTTTTTTTCCCTTGCTCAGGATTCAGATTTGAGGAAGAAGTGCTGAGTGGATGGACCAAAGTTTTGCTTTCCTGTTACGCAAATGGAGATAAGCTGGTTTGACTTTGCCAATAAATAAATTAGAGAAATTCTTCAATTCAAATGCCTTTGATTTAGTAGTTTTTTGTCTAAAAAAATTTTGGCCTCACTTTTTCCTCCAGCGCCTAGCCTGGGTTGTAGAAAACTGGCAGGTAATACAGTAGAACTTCACTGATTTTCATTAATAGATAATAGATCTGTTGTGAATTGGTGTTTATGACAGCAATGGAATCATGGTTGATGGTACTTCATATTGACAGGGAGTTGTATGTATTTGTCACCATGTCCTTGTAAAGTCTGGCTCAGTTCATTTGACTGAGGTTCTACTGCAGTACATGTTCAGTAGTTACACTTTCTCATCTTTTTTTAATAAGATTAAGTGAAGACTCATCAGTATTTTTGTTAGTCATGAATGTGGATGTTAGTCATGACTAACATCTGAATGGCGTAATTATGAAACCAATCTGACCATGCTCTTTATTCCACAGGTTCATAATTTACTTAGTGGTGTACACTCTGATGCTCATGAAATTAGAGCTGTCCAAGTTTCTACTGTAGATGCGTTCCAAGGAGCAGAAAAAGAGATTATTGTTTTGTCATGTGTGAGGACAAGACAAGTTGGATTCATAGACTCAGAAAAGAGAATGAATGTTGCACTGACAAGGGCAAAAAGGCATTTGTTGATTATTGGAAATCTCGGCTGTTTGAGTAAGAACAAACTCTGGGGAAGAGTAATTCATCATTGTGAAGGTAAAATACTAACATTTAAAAAAAAATTAAAGCCACGAGTCTTAATTTTCAATGTATTGTTATTGCTGTAATAAATTATTCTGCATTTTATTTAAATGTCTGAAGTTTATCTGCAAAATATATTAGTTATAGCAACCAGAAATAAATGTTCAGTTATGGGGCTGTTCTTCATTCTAATGTTATCTGGTAATCAAACAAAGAGTTTTTTCATACTCATCTTCTCTTGGGAAGAAGGTCTGGTCTTAATAGCAGTTTTCTCTGCCTCTGCAAGAATCAGTTTGGTGTAGAGAGGAAATAAAATCCACTGTGAGACCCACTGAGATTCCTCCACAGAGTCAGAGTGGAGGCACTTTGGTAAAGGGGCCTGAAGCCTCTATGAACTTTGCAGCTCAAACCCCAGCCCAAACCCCTAAACAGTATACCAGGGCTAGCCTTGCCTGCTAAACATTTTCCCAAGTAAAAAGATTTTTACAGTTCTTCCAGAAGATATCCAGGATTGGATTGTTCGAGGCCTCAAGGGAAAGGGAGTTCCAGAGCTGAGGAGTGACCTCAGAAGCTGTTGTAGGTCTTTATGACACCTCCGTCCATTTTTTTTTTTTTCATGTCTTGAGCAGCAAAATAGTTAATAGTGTTGGCATTTTCAAATATCATTGCCGCCTAAATTATCCTAGCTGAAGTGGAACAGAGTTCAAAGCCCAAATCATTACTTATTTCTATCATGTTTTAAAAGTTTTCTTTGAAGTTGTAAAGGGAAAAGACCTTTTATGGAAACTGAGATTCTGAAGTACATTTGACAAGGTCTACCTTGATTCCTATGCCTGAGCTAGTTATTTATCGTGCCACGAATAAAGTGCAATAAACAACTAGGCACTGTAGTGTTAGGGGTTACTATAGAAGCCCACAGCTCGGGAGGAGAGAGGTTAGAACTGCTGCAAGAGAAGAGCAGATACCAGTTCTGCTCACTTGATTAGTGTAACTACTAGGGCTGTGCAAAGCTTCAGTCCCTGATTCGCTTTGGTGGAGATTTGGCCCGATTTGGTGGCCAAATCTCTGAATCCAAATCAAATCAGAGGACCCTTTAATCTCTCCGAATCGAATCGGAATCCTCTGATTTGATGTGGAAAGATTTGGCAGTTTGGACATGGACACAGCTTTAAATGTTTTTTCTACATACCTGTAGGTAGCAGGCTTCTGAATGCTGCGATGCTGGGGCATATGGAGTGTCCCACAGGAGCACAGAGGGCGCCCCAGCATGCTTAGCAGCAGACCCGGAAGTGGACCAGAAGCACTTCCGGGTCCGCCAGGAAACGTGGTGGCCCCCCGGTACCCGCTGGCTTGGTGACTGGTGCCTCCTGGTTCTGGGGGGGCACCTGGGTTCCCCCTGCAGCCAATCGTGGAGCCAGGGGGCATGGGAAGGGGGGGCCCCCTCATGCTCCCTGCTGGACCCGGAAGTGGACCAGAATTACTTCCAGTCCACTTCTGGGTTTGCCACCAAGCATGCGGTGGGAATCAATGAATCGAATCACTGTCCCATATTCAGGCCGAATCCGAATCGAATAGGGCCCGTTTCGCATGCCCCTAGTAACTACCTGTTGGTATTATAAGAAATGCTTTGTTTGTTTATATTAGTTGAGCTCCTTGCAGAAAACAACTTTTCAAGGCTAAGATATTATTTCCTTTTGGACCATTTCATAAATTAGATATTTTCATTATGACAGCTTGATTATATGATTGATGCTCTAAGATGAAGTTTAATTGTGCTTTATAACTGCTTTTAGGAACAGAGAATGGACTACAGCATGTAAGCCAGTATGAACGGCAATTAAACAACATTCTTCAATATTATTTGGAGAAAAAGAAAGAAGAAGAAAGAGAGAAGCAAAAAGAAAAATTAATCGATTAGTCTCTTTCGCAAAAAGAGGAGGTATAAAAATTGTGTATTTTTACAAAGTATATTTTAAATGAGTTATTTATATTTTACAAGGAATAATTGCTTGTTATTGCTTTATATTTCTGTGCTAATGCCTTTGTATTTAGTTCAGAGATTATATGAATAAAAACAAAAACAAAAAAATGTATCTAGTAAATTGCCTGATAACTGCAGTCTCTTACAATAATGTGACTTGTATTATTTATTTGTCATAACACACTGGTTTAGATAACAGACATAACACAAATGTTGCAGAGCTGTTTTGGGCAATTACAAATCAGTAAACCTGACATTTGTACATGGCAATCAATTGAAACCGAAAAGAAAAGAAAAAGACAAATAAAATGTAGAGCCTGCACAAAGCCTCTGTCTCTCAGTAGTTTATTTGATCTCTAAATGTATCGGTAGAGTAGTGGGGAAAAGAGAAAAGATTAATATTGAGTTAGATTTTCCAACTCTAACTTTGACAAGGTCCACCAGCAGTTCAGAAACTCTTAAAGGAAAGCTACCTAGTTAATTTTGGAGGGAGAATGTTGTTCTATCAAAAGCTGGTAGATATGGGAAACAAAGTAAGTCTAAATGATCAGTCTTTACTTTGCAAAAGCTTGACAATAGATTTCCTCAAAGTATTCTGTAGTAGATAGAGTTTTGTTTAATATATACTAATTAACAATCAGGAAAATTAAGCCGTGACAGCAAAATTTACAGATAATGCATAATTTAGGTTAGACAAATTCCTGTGTGATATACCATTGCTAGGTGAATAGATAACCTTCATGGTCGGTTAGAAGAAAAAGTCACACCTTGGCAAAAAAACACTGGAATTACTCATACACTATACAGGTTCTGTATGATCTCAGAAAAGGGAGATGGGCATCATTGTGGGCAGATTAATAAAGACTTCTGTAGAACATGAAGATGCAGTCAAAAATGAGATTGTAGGATGTCTAAAAATGTTATGACAAATAATAGAGGAAAACAAATTAAATCGTTATGTAAATCAGTGGTGCTGGGTTCCGTAGCAATAAATCCCAAACTCCTGAGATTTTTTCAAAGCAATTAGATGAGTTAGACCTGTCCTTGGTCCCATCTTTCTTCATCCTATATGTATGAGAATTTGGGAGATAATGGCAGAACTTAGTAAGAATTTCTTTTCTGTTAATTGCTGTTTCTCACAATTCTTCATCCCCTGATTGGTATCTTGGGTACAGAACTTTTTAACTAAAGCTGGTGGATCAGTCCTTCTACTGCACATAGTAAATTAAGTTGTCATTATTGTAAATAATTGTATCCTAAGATTTTTTTAAATTTAGTAGTAAACCAGAGAATTGTGTGTGATCAGCAGAGGCCATATTACAGCAGTGAGCTCTCTTTGGGAGCTTACCAGAGTTGTGGGAGACACTGAAATGCACATTTATTCATACAATACATAATTAGATTCTGGAACTCCTTATCACAGGGTGGCATTGAGTAAAAAAGATTAGGAAGATTCAGGAAGGTAATAGAATCTGGAATTACAACACTCTTGAAGATAAAGATAGAGAAATTAGTATCGAGAATAATTGCATGGATCAGATCAAAGCAGCAAAATTAAAAATGCACTGAAACAGGACAGCTGTTTTTACCTCAGTCATTCCTTTAGACATGAAGAATAATGGGATAGTTTCTGGGGTCCAGCTTTAATATGTGCAACATATGTCAGAGCATGCGTGCAGTGCTCTCATTTGACTCATCTAGTTCTTGAGCCAATGTATGTATGGCCTGTCTCCTTTATTCTATCATGTTGACAGAGATCCCCTCCTCTCACACATCCACCTCTGCCCCTGAGTCTTTAGCAGTAAGGTTAGGATCTATTGTTCAGTACTTCCATTGTCCAACAACCTTCTACTGTGTGCAATTTCTAGAGCTTATGGAAATGTATCCTCCTCTCACATGAAAGTGCATGTAAACATAAATATACAAGAGTCAAATTTTTTTTGGTTGACATTTTTCATTGGACCAACTGCACAGTTGGGATAAAGTTAGACAAACATCTGAATGCAAGGCATTCTTCCTCAGGTCTATACAACACAACATAAATATGAATGTGTATGTATGTATCTTAATGCTGGCTTAAATGGAGTACAACATAGCCATGAGGTGTACTTTTTAAAGGAAGTGGAGAGAATGGGTAGGAGTATATTCTCTCTCTCTCCAGTAGTATACCTTCCTTCTCTATGGGTATGTCTACACAAGACGCTTACTGCTCATTAGCCTAATAACATTGCGCAGTAGCATGTCACGGCAAAAACCATGCTAATAGTTTACTATGCAGTGTTAGGCTAACGCATAGTAAGCATCACTAAATAACCATGTGCTGGTGCTACCGCACAGTAATTCTAGGTACTGTGCTTTTAGTTAGTACTTTATTAAGGAAGTACTAGACAATGTACAGTATCTAAGGCACATTAATGAATGTGTATATGCGCCCTGTGTGTTCTAAAGCAGGGGTGTCACACATGGCCCATGGAGCTGTCATCTACCTAGCAGGGCTCATAGAGGAGCTGACAATTTGGGGACAGGGCCCACCACTGAATTCTTAGGCAAGAAGCCTCCCTGGGGACTTGTTCTGGTGGCAGCATAGTGGGCGATGACTGCATTAGCCCCTGTGCCTCCCTGAGCGTCAGCAGGGCTCTGGGAAGCCTGCTATTAGAAACCTTGAAAATTAATAGAACTGGTTTGTTTTAGGGCTACTCATCCCACTGTACTGACAGTGCTGTGTACCTCAGAAGCCCTGTTGAGAGCACTCTCAAAGTCCTGAACCTGACTAGCTCCCCTAAGTTTCACACAGCCACAGTCCCCAACACATTCACAAATAACCCCCACCACACACACTTCAAAAATAGCATCTCATGATTTACGTGCCAATCTCTTGATTTTTTTTTTTTTTTTAAGAGTTCATCTCATGATTTTTGGCACAGTGGAGGTGGCTGCTTCTCAGCTTCCTCAGATTCAAATCAAACCATCACCACCACTGTAGTCTATTGCCACTCTTGACAGAAGTTCACAGAGTTGCATCACAGCTTTCTGCATTGCTTTGGGTCAAAACCAGTTTCGGTACATTTCAATGGTTTTCCCATTAACCCTTTAGGGTCTGGTTTTAGAATGGCCTTTTCTTATTTCTGTGGACCAGATTCTGAGACCCTGTCATTAAAACCAATGGGACCCCTTCTGGATTTGGTGTTTCTTTATATAATAATACTAAGTGCAGCAGACTCTGGTCTCTTGCTGTTTTTTATTTTGAGAGTCTAGATGAGCCTTTGAGGCACAATATATTGAGTAATGCTAAAGAGTATCTTGTATCACTCTCTGGGAATGTGGGTTCTCCAGACCACCTTCAATTTTTACTTAAAGGAAAGACTTTTTTTTTTAGCAGATTTCTAAAGAAGGTTGGGAAGTATTTAACCAATCTTTAGAAGTATATTCGTATTCAGCATGGCCTATTTTAATAGAGATTTATCCTGATGAATTTGCAAATCCATTGACATCAGAAGCAAAGGCCTATATGTTTCTCCCTGATGGGAAAAGGGAAATGCCCCTTTACAAATAATGCATTAAAAACTCTGAAAAAAAATTATTTTAAAGCAGCACATACCTTAGCCACTCACAAATATTTTTCTTTCTTCACTCTTCTGGGTTATATTATTGCAATTTCATAGTATGGTGCAGTAGGACAGGGCTGTTTCTCCCTTGGACAGGAGGTGAAACTTGTTATCAAGTAAGGATGAAAATAACCTGCAACAGTGCCTCTTACAAAAATATTTTCAAAGGATGTCCAGATACCCTCCATAAAAAAAAAAGTTTTTACAGCTAAATTGGGTGTTTATAAAAGACATTTTGTTTTAAGAAGGAACTTGAAAGTGTAGTTTTACAATGTGATTTATTAATATTGCATATGGGCCTTGTTTATTATACCGGAAAGTCTTCCAGACCCTCCCCCCACCAAACAAAAAACGACACCTGCTTTTGCAGTAATATAAGGTTTGCCCACTAGGTGGTGCCGGTGTACTCTTTCCTGCCTCCTGAGGGCTCTGAACTATGAAAGGTTTAATGAAGAAAGATAGCGAAGAGGGAATATTTGAATAATCACCCACCACATCAGTGTAGATAATGACATAGATTTGATGCAAGTCCAATGCCAGCAGAAGCCGGAGGGCCATTGTTTTTGTGTAGAGAAACAGAAGAGCATTATACCAACCCCAACTTTCCTTCTCTCCACTTTAAGAAGCTGGCTGGGCAAAGAGCCCTTCTTGCTATCATATTTGATACGTATTTTTGGCCCAAGTGGTGTCTGAAGACATTACTAAGTGAAGTGTAGAAAAAGAAGAAACAGTAGAGGACTGAATAGCTCCTTTAAATTGCTGCTGACACCTCTGTTACACCTCCTAAAATCTCAATCAACAATCCATTAGAACTCAACAGGAGTAAAACTAAATCCTCGTTTAAGTGTATTTATCCGATCTCTTTTCTCTCTTTCAAATGCTAAATCCATTTCAGCATATGCCCCTTCTTTCTCTCGCCTTTCTCTAAAGACTGGCAGCCTATACTACTCTTGTAAATATGAAAGATGCTAATCATATGACATATCACGTCTCAGTCGGAGCCTGGAATAAAGCCTTGAGATTTGGGATCATTGCCTCCAGACAACAGCTTCATCAGCCGGAAAGTTGGTTTTTTTCTCCTTTCCTTCAACTCTCAATCCCTTCTTTGTCTGGGGGAAAATGCAGCCAACTCGAGCCACCCTAGCCATATGGTTCACTCTGTATTTTCTTAGTTGAATTCTGAATTGTTTCTGTGACTTACGAAGGATTTTTTTTTTGAAGTGTGTATAAAGACATAGAAGGGGCTGCTGCTTGTGCTGGGATGGCCTGGCGGAGCAACTGCATCTTCCTCCTGTGTCCATTTCACACGCACCCCCCTCCTGCAGCCACTTCACTGCTCCCACCGCTTTCTCTTGGTCCTTGCTTAGGAACCAAAAAACATGCAGTTGTCAACAACAGGCCCGATTCCACTGATCTTAGCTTTCCCTTCTGAAGGAAAATGCTATTCATAGGGGAGGTTCGGCGCTGACTGCACAACCTCTTTGAATGTATGGTAAGTCATCCTTGGCATCCGTCTTGGGAGACCATGGAAATTGTGTCTTTGGTGGATTACCGGGTACCACCACAAGTGTGTATTAAGTGTATGGCATCGTACATAGGGATGTAGGTTGTAGCCGTGTTGGTCTAAGGACATAGGCAGACAAAGTTTTTTGGGTAAATCTGATATCTTTTATTAGACCAAGTCAAATAGTTGGAAAAATTCTTCTTTGCA